AGAGGGAAAGATCGCGAGAGAGACAGACATAGAAAGGAATTACACGAGGGAGGGGAGAGGAAAGGCAGAGAGGTCAAGAGGGAGAGTACAAGAGAAATAGATAGAGACGGAGAAATAGATAGCGAGACGACAAGAGTGGAAGAGTACGAGAGAGGGAGAACGGGGGAAAGGAAGAACGGACAAATAGAAAGAGAGAAAGACAAAGAGGGGTGAGAGAGAGAGTCTGAGGAACAAGTTGTTACCTTCCCGAGTCCTTTCAGTGCCGCGCTAGGTCGAGGTCGGTAGTGGCAAGTTGGAACAATTTATCTTTTGATAAATATGCGAAATTCATCGCTAGACAGGCGGCTGCCATCAGTGCTGGTTGGAAAGGCGGTTACCTCTGCCTATGATTGCATTTGAACATTGCTCGGAAACACCGCGCGAACAGTGAAGTGCGAGGATGTAATTCTGAGATATATTGGGTAGTTATATTGTGCTGTTACAGAAAGAAAGAAGGCTGGGATTAAATGAAGATATGTAGAGAATAAAGAGAGAGCGAGAAAAGATGGAGAGAATGAATAGGTGAGAGAGAGAGGAGGGGGGGGAGAGGGAGAGAGATAGAGGGGAAGGAAAGAAGAAGTAAAATGAAGAGACGTCGAGAGGAAAGATCGCGAGAGAGGAGAGAGACAGACATAGAAAGGAAGAGAGTACACGAGGGAGGGGTGAGGGAAAGGCAGAGAGGTCAAGAGGGAGAGTACAAGAGAGAGTAGGAGAGGGAAAGGTAGAGAGAAAAAGAGAATACAAGAGAAGGTCAGCGAAAGATAGAGATAGAGAGTGGTCAAGAGTGAGTGAGAGCGAGAGAGGGAGAGGGAAAGACAGACATGTGTGTATATAATTATATATATGTATATATATATGTAATTATATACATATAAGTATATATATTTACGTATGTTCTAATATACATACATATACATACATACATATATATATATATATGTATGTATGTATATATAATAACATATGTATATGTATATATATATGTATGTATGTATGTGTATATGTATATATATGTATATATATATGTATTATATATATATATATGTATGTATGTATATATATAATATACTCACATACGCACACACACACACACACACACACACACACACACACACCACACACACCACACACACACACACACATATATATATATATTATATATATATATATATATATATATATACATGCACACATGTATATTTACAGAGAGATAGATAGAGACGACAAGAGTGGAAGAGTACGAGAGGGAGAACGGGGAAGGGAAGAACGGACAGATAGAGAGAGAGAGACAAAGAGAGAGGAGAAGAGTGAAAGAATACGAGAGAGAGAGAGAGAGAGAGAGAGAGGAGAGAGAGAGAGAGAGAGAGAGAGAGAGAGAGAGGAGAGAAGAGAGAGAGAGAGAGAGAGAGAGAGAGAGAGGACAAGAGTGAGTGAGAACGAAAAAGAAGAAAAGACAGACTGATATACATACATTATATAGATAGATGGATAGATAGATACTAAAATATCATTAATGAACTATTCATAAGTGCACGCAAATTTTAGAATCATAAACAGTTGACGAAAGGTTTTAAAACGGAAATTATTATTATCGTCTGACCGAAAAATCGACAATTCGCTAAAAAAAAAATGGCAAAATTTCAGAAAATTGTCAAATAATTAACGGAAAAAATGCTAGTGTTATAGAACCTTAAAAGTCGTCAGACGATAATGATCGCTTCCGTTTGAAAACCTTTTCGTCAACTGTTCATGATGCTAAAATTTGCGTATGAATTGTTCATTAATAGTATTTTAGTATCTATCTATCTATCTATCTATCTATCATCTATCTATATATATATATATATATATATATATATATATATATATATATATATATGTATGTATAGCAGTCTGTCTTTTCTTCTTTTTCGTTCTCACTCACTCTTGTCCTCTCTCTCTCTCTCTTTGTACTCTGATATTTGTCCTCTCTCTTTCTCCCCCCCCCCATCTGTCTTTCTCTTTGTCTGTCTGTCCTTCGGTTTGTGGAACGGCAGTGTTTGGCAGGAGGATGACCAAACGCCAACAGTTTTGACACTGACGGTCGAACAGGGAGGGATTGTCCACTAATGTAGATATGAAAGGGTAGGTCATGTGTACGGAAAGTAATTTTGACAATGTTGGTGAGTTTCTTTCGATGACTTCTCGGAGGAATGGACTAGCAATGTACTGACATCACATCACGGTCTTTGAGGCAGCCGAGTAAGTACTCTCCACAATCTGGCCAATGGATATCCATAGGGCAGCTTGCTGGGGAGATAGAGACAGTTCCGGTTCAAGTATTAAGGGTTGGATGGGGTTCTACAGGAATGGGTTGCCAGAGAAATCAGTTAGATTTGATAATGCTATAGCTTCAGTTTCAGATGTGATTGTAATGAGACGAGAACGATCGGGTCGGGTACGGAAGGGGACTCGGCCCACTTGCTCTTGGAGACATTGTTGAAAGAGGAGAGTGTTGCCAGAGTAAGGAGCTGTAGGAGGGATCACGAAAAATCGGTTCCATTTGGCTGGGTTAAATAGAGTATTACGATATCTGTAGAGTTGGTGATGGGGGAAGGACGGGAACTTGTGGAAGGGGGAGTATTGTTGAAAAGGGTAGTATTACGAAGAGATGGAGAATAAGGTTGTATGGTAGTAATAAGGGAGGATGGGGTGTTTGCTGAAGAAGATTGTGGGGGTAAAAGTAATAAAGTTGAGGAAGTTGAAAGAGTAGGAGTCTCGACTTTGGTGGGTAATGCACTGGTAGGCACTGAGGAGTGGGTAGTAGTTGTAGTGTTCAGAGTCGTGGTCAAAGGAGAGCCTGGGGTCGGGGAGCCGGGAGAGTTTGAACGTGGGACTATTTGGTGAAGGGGCAAGCCTCATTGCCTCTAATATGGGTATTATATCTTCATTACTGACCATGGGAAGCCTTGACTAAGAAAATAGACAGTCCACCCCTCAGGGGCCCCTTGAGGGGTAAGGGCTAGACAAATAAAACAGGGGAATACCGTGCCCATAGTTCCCTCAGGCCGTTCAGGACTGGTATAGAGTCAGCCTTTCATCCTTTCAGCACAGCTCTTACACCTTAGGAAGTAGATAGTAGAAGGGGTTGGAGAAGGGACGGAAACGAAAGAGCTGGAGGGAGAAAAGACGATGCAAAATGAGTCAGGGGCTGAGGCCCAAGGCAGGGAAGATCCCCGCACTGGGTCACAGTCCTCATCTCCTAAGCCCCCCCCCACAACAACGGTCAAGGGGTGGGTGGGGGGGTAGATAGGACATGTATTTGGGGGATAGAAACAGTTCCAGTACAAGCATTAAGAGAGGGGTGTGGTTCGACAGGAATGGGTTTCCCAGTGAAGTCAGTTAGGGTAGATAGTGCATGAGCTTGGGATTCAGATGTAACTATAAGGCATGAACGATCAGAGTGACTGCGGAAGGTAACCTTTCATACTTGTACTTGGAGGTACTGTTGTAAGAGAAGGGTATTCTCAGAATAAGGGGCTGTGGGGGGAATCACAAAGAATCGATCATAATTGACGGCAAGAGAGTAATCAAAAGATTTGAGGAGGTAGAGGCAGTAGAAGGACGAGGGCGAGAGGACGATTGGGTGGTGTGAGTAGAGTAGTTCTGTGGGGAGGTGGGGGGACAATAATGATGAAGAGTAGTAATAAGAGAAGAGGGGTAGACATTGAAGTGGATTGTGCAGTAGGAGATGGAGAGGAGAATGTTGGCAGAGAGGAAGAGGTGCTTTCTGGAGGTAAAGTAATTACCGGGTGGAGTTTTGGAATGGTTAAGTTGTCAGTAAGCATCGAGGGGGTTTTAGTATTAGTGGGAAGGGGTCGGAATACCATCACAATCAAATTCAAATAGGGTTAAGCTTTAATGCCCCTATTAAGGGTTAAGAATCTTCATTATTGGCCATGGTGAGCCTGAATAAAATGGGGGAAGAAATGGTCTACCCCTCAGGGTCCCCATAAGGAGTAAGGGCTAGGTAATTAACCAAGGGAATACTGTGCCCATGACTCCCGGAGGCCATTCATGACTGACATAAAACCAGCCTTTCATTCTTTTAGCATGGCTGAAGGGGATGAAGAAGGTAGAGAAGAGGAAAGGGGAGAAGAAAAGACCAAAGCAAAATTAGTGGAGGCGAGGGCTGAGGCCCTTGCTTGGGCCTCAGGCCGTCTCTTAAGCTCTCCCACGACAACAACGAGCAAGATAACTTTATCTTTCTCTTCATTCCTTTCTCTGTCTCTTCCTTCATTTACATTTTGTTCTCTGCTTTCCCCTTTCACTCTCTTTCAGGGAGTTATGGTTCTTCATAACGTTTTTTTTCTCAAAAGGTTGAAATATAAACACACTGTTTTTGCTTTCTTGTACATTTACAATTACAATATGTATTTACAATTACCCCTAAGTAATAACCTTTATTTTACTATTACAGTATATTTAGAATATGCAGTCAAAAATTCATATGACAATTTGCATTATAAATTGATAATTTATATTTACACTTTGCATATCTTGCACACTCTTGAACACTTAATCTCAAACACCCCCCCCCCACACACACATCAATCTATGTAAACATTTATGTCTAGTCCCCAGGTTCTCTTCTTTATACACTGTCTTGAATGACATTGATAATTTTTTATCAGCATACATCCTTGGCAGCCAGCTGAGTTGGCTCCAGGGGATTATTGGGTAAAGATAAGGGTGTATATATAAGATGTATAGGAGGAAGCATTATTAGGTATAGATTTTGATTTTTTTGGGTGTCCTGGGAATCTTGTGTATCCTTTTCACTCTCTGTATGCTGAGAATCCTGCATATCCATTTTAGTCTCTGTATGGAGAGAATCCTGCATATCCATTTTAGTCTCTGTATGGAGAGAATCCTGCGTATCCTTTTTATTCTTTGTATCCTGAGAATCCTCCATATCCTTTTCACTCTTTGTATCCTGGTACCTTTGTATGCGTTTTTTTGTGAGTTCGTAAAGTATTTTCATATTTGTATGCTTTGCCGCAAATATCGCAGACACATGGCCTTTCATCGCCATGTGTTCTCATGTGGATCATTAAAGCATGTTTCCATGTATATGAATTATTACACAATTCACAGGTAAAAGGCTTCTCCTTTGAGTGTGTTCTCATATGTTTTGTCAAATAATTTTTATCTGAAAATGACCTGCTACAAATCTCACAATTATAGGGCTTCACCGTTGAATGCACTCTAAGATGCCTCACCAATCTATTATTTGAAATGAATGATTTACTACACACTTCACAGCTAAAAGCTTTTTCGTTTGTGTGTATTTTAATGTGCGCCAAAAGAGAGTTTTTCAATTGGAATGCTTTATCACAAAAGTTACAACTATAAGGCCTCTCATTTGTATGCCTCTTCAGGTGATGTACTAGATCATTCCTTCTCCTGAAAGCCTTGCTACATGTACGGCAAGAATAGGGTTTATCATCAGAATGTACTGTCATGTGCAACATTAGACCCTTTTTATATGAAAATGACTTATTACAGACCTCACAAGTATACAGCCTTTCCTCTGTATGTACTTTCATGTGGTATGATCGATGTGCCCTGGTAATGAAAGTCTCGTTGCATAAGTCACACTGATAAGGCTTCTCATTTGTATGTCTTCTCATGTGTCTTACCAGACATTCTTTCGCAGTAAATTTCTGGCCACAAATCTCACAATCATAGGGTCTTTCATTTGTATGTACTATTTGGTGCTTCTTCACACTAAATTTCACAGAAAATGACTTTCCACAAATTTCACAACTATAAGGCTTCTCTTTTGTGTGTGTTCTTAAGTGGTGATCTAAACCTTTTTTCTGTGAAAATTCCTTTCCACATTCTTTACAGCTATAGGGCTTCTCCTGTGTATGTGTTCTTATGTGAGTCAGTAAATTACCTTTTTGAGAAAAAGCTTTGTTGCAAATATCACAACCATAAGGCCTCTCATGTTTGTGTATTTTCATGTGTCGTGAGAGATTACTGGAGTCAACAAATACCTTACTGCAAATCTCACAACAGTATCGTCTCTCTTTTGTATGAATTCTCATGTGCCTCAATAAATGACTTTGCCATGTAAAGGAATTACTGCATACCTTACAGCTATAAGGCTTCTCATTTGTATGTACTCTCATGTGACCATCTAACGTTGATTTTACAGAAAAGGCCTTGTTACATAACTCACAAATGTAAGGTTTTTCCTTTGTATGTACTCTCATGTGGCATACTATATGGGATTTCTGAGAGAATGACTTATGACAAATGTCACATATAAAGAGCTTCCCTTTTCTATGCATTTCTGAGTGTTTCAACATCTTATCCTCACAAGAGAATTTCATACCACATACATCACATAGGAAATGTTTCTTAACTGCATCCACTTCTTTAGATGCCTCTTCATCCCCTTCACGAACATCATCTGATGAGCATTTGCTCTCACAATCCTTAGATAATGGATCTACATCTTCACACATGACAATGCCCAAGTCACATTCACCAACTGCTTCTTTGCCCAGACTTTTGACTTCTTCAGACGCTGGCCTCTCACCTTTTACATTACCCGTATCTTCAGTCTTTATAAAGACAGTACTCTCTCCATGGATAGCCTCAATAATTTCTTCATCGATATCCTGGCAATCATTCTGACTGATGGCTTCCACCTTCTCATCCTTCATATCAATGGATTCCACTGAGTTACGATGAAAAGTTTCTAAATGTATGCCATCCATGATAGTAATTGAAGTCACCCTTTCACAAGCCATAACATTCCTGAAAAAGGAGACAAGTGGTGAGTGAACATTCTTCAGATTATTGTATATCTTTTCCTGCATATTGATAATTATAGAGGAAACTAAATAGAAAATATAAAGACAAACTTTTAGCTTTACAAAGAATAGTGAAACACAATATCCTATAGGAATACAAAATATCCATATCCATATATATTCTTAAAATATTACAATAAAGAGTAATACCTGCATTCTTATCTTAGAAAGGTTAATACAAAAGAGAAGTACAAATGTTGGTTGTGAGAATGGTGTAGTTACAGCTCACACACCAAAAAGTTCAGAGGAAGGGGGATGGGGGGGGGGGGTATCTAGTAACAGAGACTTCAGGAATGTGTTCAGGCTTTTCATAAGTCAGTTGGAGGGGATCCTCACTTTTTACATCAGTCATCTCATCCCCATTTTCAACCAGGTTCTTGCAAATCAGGAATGGTTGAAGAGGATGGGTAAGGATTGCCATAGATTCCAGGTTCAATGTGGCACCATTTAATTTCCTAATATCAGCTGTGTTTCCACCACTTTAACTCCCTTTTATTATTTCCATCTTATCATCAATGGCCAACACTTTTCTTTAGGGAAATCGATGAGCCACTGTTCATAAATGAGGTAAATCAACACAGACATCCAACAGCAC